GTTTTCAGCCCTTCGACCGACCGTCTGCCTCCCTCCTCCCCCTAGCACGCCACGCCGGCACGCCGGCTCGCCAGCTATGAAAGCAGCCATTGTGTACACACTAAACGTATTCGAAACGCCTCTACGATTCTGAATAAAAGGCGAAGGCGAGGACGTATTCCAAAAACGAAATCGATTAACGCCGAGACCTGACTTTTTCAGACTTTATGATCAGAACAACTTATTCATTTATGGTCAAGTTAGACTAATACGATACGCCTAAAGACTCCTTTTCAACTGGGCACTTTAGCTTTCTACGATGTGCGCTGTTTTAACCGATGTGTGACCGACTGATAACGTTGCTGGCCACTAGTTGGCAACGCTCTACTCCGATCAACACCGTCCGAATGCAATCTCTCTCATTTGTCAGCAAGCGGACAGCAACGCTGTCGCTGGATCGGACGTCGATTGACACAACACACTTGAACTCTTTGACACTGGAAGCGCCCACTGACCGCCCTTCCCGATAGACACTACAACATTTACCACCTGTCATCACACCATCTCTGCCAATCTGCTTTAATCCGTCATTCGACAGTGATCCAAACAAAGCATGGTTTATCTTCAGCTAACTTTTTTTAGTTAAAATTTATAACAACATGAAATTACCTGGCACATTTGGAATGACGGAGCATCCAACCTCTGTGATGGCACTGAAAAGAATGCAGTGAACATGAAAAACCTTCGCTTGGAGTAAAGAATCAAAACGGAGAGTGATTTTCCGAGACCTGATGGGAGTGTCGAGTATTTAAAAGTACACTTGGTGAGCATTAGATTGCACACTACAGAAAAATCAAAGGCACAGTTCACAACAAAATGGCTTCTGAGATATCTCTTAGAATGAATTTATGGCCACATATACAATATGTGGCATTGTCAAATCAGAATACGGACTAGATAGGGAAGGGCACTGAAAACTCAAATAGTGGTTTAACGGCATTGTAGAGGCTGCACCATTACCATGTGGGAAATCCAAAGAGCTTTTCAATTGCGAACCAATATCTCGTTTTTTCGATCTCAAAAGGGTACCTTAAAACTAACATGATCTGTGCCTTCCACCATAAGAGTGGCAGGAACTTTATATAAAAACAGATGTTTGAGATGTTAAAGATGTTTGAATTCTACACAGGCAAGAGTCGTTTCTCCTGGCGGTGCACATAGATTGAACGACTTGAAACCTTGCAATTTTTCTAATTTTTTTTAAAAATTTTCTAGAGTCTGCATAGACCTGCTCTTTCATGGATGCGCAAGTATACGGCACCTCACATGGAATCCTGATTGAAATTCACGCGTTACCACTTTACTTTGTAGCGGCAGGACTTATGGTGTGGCCTTCCAGAGAACTCAAATTTCCAAAAGGCGAAGTTGCCGTGTAGTTCGAATATGTTTAGAAGAAGAAGACAGGGCGGAAGTCAGCGATTTCTAAACGCTGCAGGTGCATTTTAATGAATCTGGCATCGAACTTTGCAAGAAATGCTGGATAACTGGCAATTGGTAGATTGGCCGCATCGAAATGTACTGTAGCTCGCATCATGAACCACAGCGTCTCTCAGAGAGTGAAACAAGCACCTCGAGTAGCGAAAATGTTCGAGAGGAACGACTATTTTTTGTGAAGAATGATATGAATTGAGACTGCGTTTGCGAATTGCGTTTCTAAGTCTTTCCTTCATGGTTTAGAAATTTCTTAGTAGTAACGGAACCCTCCCGATTCAATTTACTGCTTCTAAGTAAATAACCAGGACGATCAGTCTTTTTCAACAGCATCGGTACCATTCATATGAGAAAATTGTCATAATCAATGCGTCTCTATGCCAGACAGCGCTTCAATGAACGCTTCAAACAGAAACTATTCGACTTGTAATCTATCATAAAATATCCTCTTGTTGGCATGCCCGACATACAGTCGGACCTCAGTCGCAGCCTTGACAATGTGTGGTTTATATTAGAGCGTAAGATCGGTGCAAACTGAAGGCAATATTTAGTCGGTGAGACGGGCTATTGCAGAAAAAAGGAACCCCCCCCCCCTCCTCCCTCCTGGCTTTCCTCTGGAGAATCCTCATGGTTCTGTGTCTGATCGTGTTTTCAAGTTTATTCGAAGAAGTGGCTACCTGTGATCTAATGATTATTGCGTCCATATTACTTTTCTGGGCGGAGATGGTGTGGTGGCAAGTGGCGCACTATATCACACTCACGGACAGGGATTCGAATCCCGAATCGATGCCCGCCTAAGCCAACCAAGCCTTCCATCCCTCCGGGGTCGGTGAATTGGTACCAGGCACGTCTGGGAGGGTAAAAGCACTGACTTGTACATCGGCTGGCCACCGCAAGTCATTGTATAGGCCACATACGCACTCATTACGCCACTACGNTAAAAGCACTGACTTGTACATCGGCTGGCCACCGCAAGTCATTGTATAGGCCACATACGCACTCATTACGCCACTACGATTCTGAATGGGAGTCGAGTGCGGAGGCGCATCCCTCAGACGGGATTGATTAGCGTCAAAAAACTTTATATTTTATTACTTTTCTAGTTTCCTAAATAATATGTCTATGAATGAGAAAACCAGCAAAAGTTTCAGTCGCTCAGTTGAGGAAAGTTTTCTGTAGTGTGCAATCCAACATGCATCACAGTGTGTCTAATGACAACGTTCTGACTCCACTGTATAAGATGCCCACCAGATTAAATGTGACTGCTAAGCAACAGAATCAGATGCGACTTACGGAAAGGGGCATCACATATTAGCTCTACAGGATTACCCAAATTGCGAATTGTTGCAAGGAATTCAAACGACATTCTGCTTTTACTATAATTGAGGTGCAATCTGAAATTCTAGAACGTACAGCGCATTCACCCCGTCATCGAAGTACCATTGCTGATCAGCTCGACAAGTGAGAACTGCCGTCACAGTGGGAGCTATATCTGGTCCTCCAATGGCACCGTTGAACTGAAAAGGATAAGTGAAGTTCAATTCATTTTGCCATAAAGCAATGTTGTCACAGGATACGTATTTAGTTCTAGGAAACTAATTTTAACAACAACAAATTTTCAACCACTGAAAGGGACGAAACTATTAATGGGTCACTGGATGGTAAGGGAAATCGAGATTATGGTAACAGATGAGATTGAGAACCGCATCTTCTTCACTAGAGGCCATTTGGTATACTACAGAAGTATGTAGAACACATTTGGCCTCTACATTGCACCTCATTTCTGTAGTGGCTGTGTACGGGTGTGGTGCAGTAGAAACGAATTTGTCGCGTCACGGCAAGAGAGACGGCGCGCGCGAAGGAGTGTAACAGAATGCAGCAGCAAGTTAGAAATACAGGAACAAAAGAACTGACAGTAGAATCATGCCAAAAGTAATAATCGCATAGCGATTGAGCTGTAAGAAGAACGCTAGAGCCGTAATAACCGCGAAACGAAGTTCGCGACAGCCGCGTGCGGGGAATCGATTACACAGAACCGTTCCTACTGCCCGTCTCCCGCTGGGTACGAGCCCTAGCCCTTGCTTGGAACCATAAAGTTCTCAGTTTTCAAACTTTGTTTTCCTCTGATTTCTGGCAGCGGTGACGCAAGAGAGAAGATAGGCAGAAGGTCTATAGTGAAGGCGGTACATAGGTCAGAAATGAAGGATGGAACAGTAGAGGGTGCTACAGGTAGAAGGGCGGTGAGTAGAGTTGTGTAAGGAGAGAGGAGAATGGCAAGTGGCACATACTGTGAATAAATAAGTTTATACATGCATTCTTACTCTTTTCCAGTCACTTTCATTTTTATTTATAAAGGAGAATTCTGTCCTCTCAATTAGGACTACCTCTGAGTGTATGAAATAAATAAACAAATAAATTTCGGTGGTGGACGACCAGCATTCTGGTGTTTGCAGGCCATCGATCAGGAGTAGATTAATTTTGAATTTTTGGCCGTTCATCCTTGCAAGATCATGCCTGGATCAATCCATTTTCATCTCGAAACCCACTGATCCCGGCCCAATCGGCTTTTTCTATTTTTTTACACCTAATCCTCTTCGTACTCTATCTAACGCAATCGGATGGTCAACTTGCCATAGGAACTAGAGGTCAGTTGTTTCTATGAAAATGTTCTGTCTTACTGGTGGATTTTATTGCTTTCTACTTTCTTCTAATTCTACTTCTCGATGGAACAATATTCAGCCATTGGTCTGGCCTGGAATAAATGGAAATGCATTGGGTAGTGGGTGGGATGAGTGGGAACCAGCTTGGCAGTAATTCTTCTAGGCGAATTTCTGACGGAAGGATAGATCCGCAGGAAAAGGGTGTAGCCCTGACTGACGCTAATGTGAAAGGTTACAAAGCTTCTACAGAAGAAGCACTAAAGTTGTAAATAAATAATCGAACGATGGCGAAACAAAGAGTCACAAAATCGTCCTACACGGAAGTCACGTTTCTCTAAAAATTTAACTGACAAAGGCTTGGGTGGCTTTTGATGAACACGATAGCTATAGATGGAGGCAGTAAGAGGAAATCAGATTTCGATGTCCAGAAACAGCAGGCTTGATTAGAACTGCTCCTTGAAACTCACCTCCATGAAGGAATCATCTGTTGTCCCTGATCTGCAGACGGCATTCATTTGTTTACACCCTTGGGCGTTATTCGGGAGTTCTCTAAAAGGGTGCTGATCAAAATTAGGACGAAATTCGTTCCATTGATGGGCCTGGTGCTCTTGAGAAATCGAAATTAATACTGGAACTGACTCCATAATAGCATCCGTTTGATCGGGGCTTGTGGCCGTTAGGAACTCCACAATACTCGGGTCACATGTCGCACATGCTGAAATTTATTATTCGTTTACCGTGTTTTCTTTGCAGTAGAAGATTTTGTTTTTATACTGATATGGGTGATTGCCCTATACAAATTTACATCAATACGATCAATACGCGAAAGGAAGTTGGGTCGTTATAATTTGGAATATTTTGGAGAGCAGTTCTCAAAATCCGTTCTTAGTGTGCCCCGCACTGTGCTTTGTAAAAGTAGACCTCCCAGGCGTGTATGACGTATATTCAGCACCGTGTAGAGCCCACCCGGCGCGTAAACTAACCCCTTTTGTCCTCCTGAACGAGTTACCACAAATATCGCTCGCTCTTATCATACGATGAAAGTGTGATAATTAACGGCTTAATAAATCTAGAATTAGCTCGTACGGTAATGGCAGCGCGCAGAATTACTGCGATTTTGCTGAATGGGTTACTCACTCTGTTCTGTAGAAAGAATTCCATTTAGCTCGGCTTTGGACTCTATCGCCTGATCAAGTCATCCCCTAGAGCCTGAGCAATTACTCAGAACACAAAAAACTATATTTGGGTAGTAGAGTTCAAAAATTGGGTGACTCCAGAGGGTGCGTATGGAAGAATTGGCTGCTTTCATAGTCCGCTGGCCGGCCGGCCGGCGCGCCGGCGCACTGACGTAAAACGAATTAGTTCGTATGTGAGAAATCTCCGCCCGTTCCATTTCACGGTCAGAACAAGTCAGAAGCGTGAAATAAAATGCAACAGACGTAGATTTCTTACATACGAACTAATTCGTTTTACGTCAGTCACTGTACGCCGGCGGACTATGAAAGCAGCCATTGTGTTCAGGCAGCCACCCTCGCGACAGCTCTCGAGAAAGCCTTTTTATGTCTACGCCACGATTTGATGTGTGAAACCTCAAGAATAAGAAATGACGTCAAACTTACTTTCAACGGGATCAACTTTTGTGGTACTACAAGTCACTTTGTTGATTGCCCTGAAATTAGGATTAACGGAAAACGACTAGCATTTGCAGTTTTCCAATCCAAAGCAGGTCAGGATTTACCAGAACAAGGCCATTTAACTTACATTTTCCAGGTTCAAGACTACACAGATATCACATTTCTGGTATCGAAATTTGCCGAAAAAATTCAAGGGAGAAAGAGCATAGTGCCCGGAAAGCACAAAGACGGTTCGAGTCCCGTCCGGAGCTAAGTTTTACCCTAAATCGCCATCCCTGTGAGATTTTCGGATCGCCTAGAGCGGTTAACAGTTACACTTAACAAAACAACAAATGAAAAAAATTACACTGGATCCCATCGCATTGTCAAAATGGTGTCAAGAGCAAGTTGGATGAAGGCTTTATGACTTGATAAGTTAAGGTTCTCCCCATGGTGAATGGTTCGAGCTACTCTTATGGTTGCTCTGAGAAATAAAAAATAAGTTTTTAACCCAAATTTGCAAGTTTTCAGATCAGCGTCTAGCTTAATGATATGATAGCGATTCCTCTTTGCTCGAAAGTATTTGTTCGAAAAGACCTTTAGAGACGGCCGTTAGAGCCGGTAATATTCTACACCTACTGCTAGCAGCCAGCCGCTAAATAATTTACTGTGCTGAAATGAAACTCACACTGAATTCCCTCCTTCAGTGTAGTACCATTTTTGGTCGGCACGACAAACGAGACGTGCTGTAACCGTGGGCGCAATCGGGGGCCCACCCACAACATCGTTGAACTGAAATATAGCATACACTGTTACATACGTGCCCTATATCGGTTAGTGTGGGGGTGTTTGACCACAGCAGGTTAGAAGTTCAAGCACAGTGCCCGTTGCACGATACCCTTCCGGGACGCTGGTCCCAGAGGGAATCCATTGGTTGAGTACACTTGCTACGGAGATACTGGCAGCAATGTTACCAAAGACAAAGACAGAAATCGGTTCAGTCCAGAAACCAACCTCCATAAATGAAGTGTCAGTGTCTGATCCAGACTCGCAGATCGCGTTCATTTGTCTGCACCCTTGGGCGTTATTTGGCAAATCTCTGTAAATAGCATAATAATAGATAAACGGCGCAAACAGCTCTGCTCAGCTGTTTAGAAAATTAATTACACTAACAGCCGTTATGTTGTGGAGGTCTTTGTGAATCGCCACCGAAAGCCGTTTCCGCTGTTTTTTCCAGTTGCTCCCTATTTCCCTTAGGTGTACTGCCAGAATACCACCTAGGTAGTTCGATGGTGGTAAGACCTTGAGTAGTGGGGGAAGTAAGTTGCTGCATCACGAACGGGGGTCAACACAGGGCTTATTGCTACTCTGCTGTCTACCGACCGATTCCTTTTATTGAATATGTATATTCACACTCATTTATGGAAAGGATTGATTCTCCCTTATTACTCGATTGAGGGGTGCTTGTAGCCTGTTGGGCCAGAGCTCGTACCAAACAGTTACCTTCATTAGTATCTCACTGTATCTCACTGGCTGCTTTCATAGTCCGTGAGCGAGTCATCCGGGGATGACTCGTCCAGCGGTATCGACCAAGATTCAGTTGTAAACAAGGGACAAGCACCACCCCAATCGCTCGATCGCTCGCGGGCCAAATCGTGGACTATGAAAGCAGCCATTGCGTATCTCATTTGAGCGATGCTGCAGGATTGATAGCTTCCTTCGCTTTTGTAATTAACTACCAAAATTTAGGGATTTAGAACAAACATACAGATTGACAAATTAACTCGATATCAAGTAATAGGAGTGTCACTGAACCAACTCTCTGATGGCATCCGTTTCGTCTGCATCTACGCCTTCTTTGAATACCACATCGTTGGGATCACATGTCGCACAATCTGGAATGTTCTAGATTAGTCACTGACTTTTCCCACCGCTCAAGGGGTATTTCACGAAGGTTTACTCGCCCAGCACAGATTGCATCCATATACTATTCACGTCGTGTTAGTTATTTGAAGCATCTTTAAAAGTTCTCAATGGCAGCATTTAACAACTGTAACGGCTCTGCAATCGATGCTGCTCGTAATGGCTCAGTTAGCGTGCACTTATGCACTTATTCTTATCTGCTTAAATTAAAGTATACCCTAGCGCCTTAAAATGGTATGATGCCAGCTGCAAAGAAATCGTCTCTACCAATAAGTCTACTTTCTTGGCTGAGTTGTACTGCAGCGTTTTGACAGACTGAGGTTTTTTTTGTGTTTGTCTCAAATCCTTCTTCTTTTTCACTATTAGACGACCCAGCAGCTATTATCCGACTGTTATCCCTTAGGGACTATGCTGCAGGCGGTACATGGCGTATTCTTGACACAAAGCTAACCAGAGTGACATGGGGAAGGTGGAGGCCAAGGATTGATATCTGTTCCTTTTTGCAAGGTCGTATTGAAGTAGGTCTCTTACTGAACACAAAAATATGATAAGATCGCATTACTTATCCAGACTCACTTGTAGCGGGTGCCTTCGTGGTACTACAGCTAACGTCCGTAATTGCACTGAAAATACGAATACACTAAAATATGAACTTTAACCAAATGATAATGTCACTGTCCAATCATTAAAACTTGGTACCGCCGTTGTTCTGATGGTCATATCGGTTAAACGACCCTAAAAAGAATTGCAAAGATAGTTTGACTAGCAGAAAAAGCTCTCCGTGAACTATGGGAGAACGGGGCCTTATGGGGATGCCACTACGGTAAATTACAGTCTAGGCTTTGGACAACTCCGCAAGTAGCTACATTGGTCAAAGCTAATCTGGCTGCACTCATGGTTCTGATAGCTTCATGCCTAAGGTGTGCATGGAGTTACTCCATCTTTGTCCTTCCACCGCTATAAAGGATCTTTAAGGCCCCTAAAAACTGTCAAAATACAGTCCAGTTCTAGCTTTGTTGGCCACTCTAACTGATTTGCTCTGCGCAACATGCTTGAGAGCTGCACAGTTGCTCTGGCCTTGCTTTCAGAATGATAACAAAAAACTTTGCCCTCGATATTTCTGCGATTGTTTTGTACTTCACTTTGAAATACCTCAAAGACAAACCCCTCGCGCTTAGCAATTATCCTTTTTTGGGTCGAGCAATTGAAAGTGCTAGGCTATTCGATGGATGCAGATAGCCCTTTTCTGTGAGCATGACCAACAATAGTAAGTGTCTAAATAGAAGCTCAAAGTAACTAACAGTGATGCTGTTCCATCGGTGTAATACCATTTCCCATCAGCTCGGCAGGTGAGAAGTGCTGTTACCGTAGGTGCTATGTTGGGTCCACCAATACCGAGATTGAACTGCAAATGAGTAATTTCGCCCTAACTAAGTCTTTGGTTGAATATTTGTCAAAGAGTAAGGCTGAGTAAAGGGACGTTTCTAGCAAAACATCAGAGACTAAGTCTCTATCAGAAAAAAAAGAAACGATTCAAATCGGATGAACCTAACCTCCATAAAGGAGTCATCCGTTGGAGATCCAGACCTGCAAATGGCGTTCATACGTCTGCAGCCTTGGGCGTTGTTCGACAAAATTCTGAAAATAAGGCAAATAGAAGGGGAAATCTTTCTGAATGAGTGATGAAACCTCCCGAAAACTAAGAAAATGACCATATCTGGTCTACCAAAATGTTCTCTGCGTCTAACACCTACCATCCACTCTGTCCACCTCAACCTTCGAAGAGGAGGAAAGTTCACCGTTGAAAGATCCTGACAGGAACAAGACACTTGGGCTAGAAAACTCATAGGAAGAAAATTGAGCCGGAGGGGGATAGGGAAGAGCTACGTACTATGTCACGGCAGCGTCAGAGTCCAGAGCTAGTGTACCTAGCATCCTTCGACGGTGACCGTTTCCAGATCTTCTATTTGTGAGGGAAAGATCCAAAACGGGAGTAGCACTTGGCCTCTGTTCTTTGCACTCATACAAAGCGTTTTCTAAGTTAGGAATTCGATCACAGTAATCCCTATCATCACTCACAATTCAGTTTGTTTCCTATCGTCTCACTTGACCTCAGGAATGGACAGAACGTTCTGGTAGACTTGGTTTTTTTGCTCTATCGCCTTACAAAACTCACTGTCTGATGGCGTTTGTTTCGTCCACGGCGGTTGCTTGATGGAAAACCACTGCATTTGGATTGCATTTACCACAAGCTTCAATTTATCAGTATTATTTATTAAACTCTTTCATGTTTATATAAATATTTACTATATTTCTACATATTCCTTGACTTTGTTAGAAATTTTTATTATTTTTATTTTGTTCATATTATATCTTTTTCTCATTTTTCATATTTTTTTCTAATATATGCTCCTAATGATATATGCATTCCTCTATAGCAGAATGTGGGAGAAAAGTCTGCAGAGGAATTGGCAAAAGGTCAGAACGACACTGCAGAGAAGAAATTCAGAAAAAGCGTGATATCATCGCGGTGAAATAAATGTTCAGGGCATTATTCGCCGTAAATAATCGTAAATAAGGCTTGAGGTTCGAAAGCAATGCTTTTCTTTGGTATCAACGCCCACTCTTGTCAGTTGAAAACTACTTCAGTGGGTCGATGAGGCCCTCGCCTTAAACTTCTTGTTACCAGCTGACTTTATAAGGCGATAGAGAAATGATTCCTCCCCAAATACGCAAACGCTGGAATTTTCCCACTTTTTCGACCCCAATCTTTGGTGCACAAGTGAAATTTAGTTGTCAGCACTGTTATCGAGGCACATCTAGCCCTATTTTTGTTTTAAACATTTTTCTGAACTGACCCCGACATGTAGCTCTGTAGGGGCCTTCAAAATGTGATACCGAAAACTATCTATCACAATTTTATTCGACTGAAGATGAGGGAAAAAGCTCACCTGGCTCGACGGGAGGATCAACAGGTTCAGTTGGAGGCCTAGTAGGCTGAAATGAGGTGAATACGTGGTATACGCGGTGTTCATGAAATATCACGGCATAGAAATTTGGAGATTGCTCTCTTGTCCTATTCCCGACCTCCATCGGAACTCTAAGCAAATCACAAACACTAACCGGCTGGGTAGGAATCGTTTTCATGCAGGCATCTGTAGCAGCGGCAAGGACCATCAAAAACAGTTGAGATTTACACATAGATGCGCCTAATTTCGGAGTTCTTAGAAGAAAACCTGACCTAAAGTCATGGTTTAGTAGGTGGTAATTGTTTACTACTCATTTGGTCTAACGTCAAATTAAGGAACTCGTAGGAGGCCATGCGTCTGACCCAGCAATATCAAAACCTGCTTTGAAATGCTATCTATCAAGTTTTCAAAGGCTTAAATGAAGCGTTAGCTAGGTCTGTGTAAACGTATATTCGAAATTCTGACTCAAAAGAACTGAAACTGCTAATCATGCTCGGATTCTCGCCTATATAATGGGCTTAGAACCAAAATGCTGGAATTCTGACTTGAAGAAACTGAAAAAACCAGCAATCGAAGCACACAGCAAAGTTGGATTTCTAATCAAAAATCTCTCAATGAAGCGGAATGTGCGCCTACTGCCAAGAAGAAACCACCTCTGCGTTTGGTAGGGCCAACGTTTGTTCAGATCTCGGAAAGAAGCAGTTCAGTGCCTTCGAATGGAACATTCTTCTGGGATTTTCTCGATGCTTTGAGAAGTAGAGAGGATCATTATATGTTTATCATACAGCCACCTTTTGCTACTTCTAGCTAGCATAAATGACCTCGCTTAATAACGCTCGCATTTTTAGTTCTACAATCAGCTGCAAAAACTTGTTTTTGAAATGAAACTGTCAGAAGACCACGCTACAGTGAGGGTTGCCTTGCCAATTCTTATCCATGACCACTCACACTTTCGAACCTTTTCAACATTTAAAGCCACCCTCTTTAGCAATTTTAAAGACTTTTACTTGTACACTGGTTGAGGTTAGTTGATCACGTTTCCGGGATGCCCCTCCGCTTTCGACTTCGAGATCAAGGATAGCTGTGACGTACGTAATGCGTGTGAGCCATACAATCACTTGTGGTGACCGGGCGATATTCAAGTCAGTGCTTTATCTCCCCAGACGAGGCTGATACAAATTAACGGACCTTGAAGTGATGAAAGGTTCGGTTGACCTAGGCGGATATCGATCCGGGACTCGACCACCGGAGATCCCCTGAGCATGCATTGGCCGCCAGAGGTTTTCACCGATGTACCACCCCGCCCACGCTTCCCATATTCATCTTTTTCGCTTCCCATATTCAGCAAGTAACAAAATTTAGGCTATTTATATTGTTCCCACCACGTGAAAGCCATTTCACTGAATTGAAATCCACTAGCGAACTCAGGGCTATGATATGATATAATTTACAACGTAAGTTTCTATAGTAATGCGGCAATACTTATAAATTCGATTAATGAAATAGGTCAATGGTTAGTTACGCATGGTTCGAGTAGTAGAGCTAGACACGGTACAAAGATGTTACATGAGTGAGATGTGTGGCCAAAGGTTTGACCCAACGCTGAGGCAGAACCTGTTGAGCGAATTGAACGAAGATCATAGAAGGAATTCCCGAGCATGTCGCCGAAGTGGACACTTTAGTGAATGAATGAGGGAGCGGGTTGGCTTGAGATGCTCTTGTGAAGCATCTTCGATTCGGATCTGCGCTACAGGAATGACCGCGGAAACTGAATAAGGTCGAGTAGCGAAAAATTCGGCAGCGGTGCGAGTGCTCATCTCCGATGCACTAACAAGGGAATGTTTTCCGTTCGCAGGAAGCTATCCGTCATTTTCGATTTCTCTCGACATGTCGCATCGCTTGAGAACGAAGACCATCTTGAGAACAACGCCATAAATCATGTCATTCGGTTTCACATGAATGCACCGATGTTTGATGAAGAGATGCCGGACATTGTGTCACTTTCCAGATCTCAAATTTGAACGAAACTTCTTAACTGGAGTATGGGACAAATCAATCGAATCAGCTATCCATCTATATCTCACCAGCTAGGTAAATGATTAAGTAAACCTGCCCTAGTCCCTTCGAATGAGATTCTGTAACGTACCTACTCAATCTTTTGGTAATACTAGTGAAGATCATCAGATTAGTCAGACCGTCCCGGTAACTTACCGTTTCCTGTGAACAGTAGCTCCCTTCACCCAAGAGAATCACTCAACACATTTCTGCTCCGAAATCCGGCCGTTTTAACGTTGACTATCACTTTAGCCATGGTCGATCAGAAATGAGGTCAGAGCGACCACCGAACACCCTTTTCGCTTTCACGGCTCAAATTTGTAGAATGAACTTGTCGGACAGGAACCTCAAAGACCGTGGGAATGGGAAATGGACGCAGCCCGTTAGAGAGTTAGAGTAATGTTCGAGGTCAAGCTAGCGTTTAGACTTCCTTCGGTGCAGACACAAACGAAATTACAGTCTACCGCTCGCTATCACAGTGCTCTGCGGCCTTTTTGAATTTATTCTTCACCCAATCCGCTTTAATTGGATACATATGGTGAAGTTCAAAAATGAGCAGCGTTTTAAGATTTCAACAAATATTCACAAAGGAAGAGTCATGGCAACGCTCACAAGTTTCAAATGTTGATTAGCTCATCATCGCATGACCCAGTGCAGCCTTTATCGGGCGAAAAACCACAGAAGTACATGCTTCACAAAAAAAATTTGTGCACTGCAGTGAAATCATGGAGTTGGAAGTGCGAACTTTACCACTGGCTGAGTACATAAAATCTTTGGACCAATCTCATTAACAACATCGTTCTTGTTTACTTACATCGATACAGGCTATCAAAATTCAATGGTCATCCTGCTTTGGTCGCTGCCAACTTACCCTTACTTCAAAAGTACGATAATGGGAGGAGGACACCATGGCAGAAGATGAACGACACGGCCCCTCTCGTTTGCCAAAAGGAGGGGGGGGGGGGGGGGGGGNGGGGGGGGGTAAGGGGAAACTGAGGTGAGAATCCAGTTATACGGCTTCCCGCCTAATCCCAAGCGCCGATCAACGAGCTCACTCATTCATTAACCTAACACTTACCACCCACTTTAACATCATCAAAGTTGTGATTATGTGAGATAGTGATATGTACTCTTCGAGTCGATAAAAGTAGTAAGGTTTCCCGATCATTTCTAGTCGTTCATTCACGTGAGCCAACAGCATCTTCTGAGGTTCTCTCTGACCAACTCTCGTGTTCTGTTGATAGCCTCTTTGTATCTTTCCGCCGTTATTCTCTGTAATTATGTCGACGTCTTCATCAGTTCCCAAGCCTGAAATTACACGTGATGCTATTATTTGTGACTGGAAGGTGAGTAGATATATTTCCCAAAGGGCAACTGTAGGCATAGATCAGGTGATAGGGGGGTAGGTAGGGCTGGGATGAGTGAGAAATCCTATTATTGGAAAGGTACATATAACGGACAAGTATTAGTCGTTGTCTCAAGTTCTGTTCATGGTCCAACATTTTAAAATTGAAGCACAGAAATGGAACTGAAATCAAAAAAATTGTCAAATCAATAATTCAATAAAACATCAGGGAACATGGTTGGGTGTTCGCTTTGCTGTTTAGCAATTTCTTAGCTGACGAATTGGTCCAATGAATTTTAACTGAGCTTTACAGAACTTCCATGAGCACCTTCGCCTCAGTTACTTGAATCCATCTTCCAGGTAATTCGTAAAATAGGTTCTGGAGGTTTTGGTGCCGTATACGAAGTGGAAAAGGATGGAGTACGTGCAGCGCTGAAAACTGAATTTGTCGATCAGACCGGTGAACGAAGTGAAACGCTGAGAAATGAGGTAAGATCGTGAAATGAAAACCATGGTTCCCGCTACTCAAGTTGCTTATGGCAACGCTTAGGAGGACACTAGCGAAGCGATAAAGCAGTCCAATGTAGGTACATATGTAGTGCTCATTGGAGAAACATGGATTGGACACCTTCACGTACCATGCTCGTATGCTGCTCCCAGCATCCTCTGCTCCAGTCACAGCTGCTGACCATATTTTTTAGATCGCACATACCGAACAATAGGCTTGAGGGGTGTAAGATAATGACCCCTACTTCCAAGCCGTAACATATCTTTAGTACGACACTCCTAATAAAGAAGTCACGGAAGCAGTGAAGACGTTGCCTGCGGAAGATTTTTTCCGCTTCTGTCGGAGTCGGGATTCTCCTTTCCACCTGAGCTCGAAAAATCATTGAATGGGGATTTGACGATCTCGTGGCTCTAAGAATATGACCGTTTCAGGTGATGCAGCTTCGTGTAATGCAGTGGTCTTCCCATTTCTGCCGGCTATACTTGGCGTGCCGCGTACGATGCGGAAAATCTGTGGTCAACATTATGATTATGAGTCTTGTGGAACGACCGCTATCACGGTAAGAGAGATTCACAAGGAGTGGATAAATTCTATCACGCTTATTTTCTCGTTAATAACAAGTGACAATAGCGATTGTGGAATAGTGACGGATGGTGCTTGCAAAAGGGGGCCGAGTCCTTCAAACGGCATCTTTTCGTGACGTATTCACTGGTTCTAGAAGTACTTTTGCTAAGGAAAAGACGAATCTGTCGTTTCGTATGGTATGACCACTATGTCAAATGAGTGTTCACTGTAAGACTTCCAACAAACTCAATGAGGTTACAACTTTTGATCGATGACACTCCTCTAGAAAATGATTGGTGACGCAACTCACTGATTGGATTCTTCTCGAGTCCAACCTGACAATGTTATCGTGTTTAGACTTCGTCGCATGACACCTTATTCTCGCTTCAGTCGCTCGACTGCCGTGAGGTTATCTCGCCAATGTCTTGAAGTGAGACTTTAGGTTCATTCAAAAGTTGTTATGTAATAGAGCGGTGTAAGCAGGAGCAGTCGAGATCCAGTCGTTCCGACTGCTGATTTCTTCTACGTTTGCTAGCCCTTTTTCCAATGAATAAGTTCATGAGAAAGGGGTAGGAAAAGGGGATATTATGAGATAGGAAAAAAATTAAAAGAGAAAAAGAGCGTTATAAGCAAAGTACAGCTCTGAGCATTGCAAGTTTTAGGCAATTCACGATCTTCATCGTACTGGTATACTTCATCGAGACATCAAAGCCAGTAATTTTGCCTGGTCATCGGAACGCATCGTCTACTTGCTTGACCTTGGCTTTTGCAGAAGATTTGTGAGTTGATGATCATGCGTCTACCGAGCGGCTTTTCCGCGCAAAGTGGAATGTGACTTACCAGGGAGGGGTAGTCTACTTATCTTGGAGCTTTGAATTCAGACCCAGACAAATTGATAGAGTTTTGAATGCTGTTTACGAAAATGCAAATTAAAACTGCAAAATGATCCTCCTTAAAAAGTTATGGGGGCCCGAATTTTGCTCGACA